TCTTTCCCTCTCTGGGCTGCAGTAAAATAAGTATGGAGAGGGGGTAGTTTAGATGGTTTCTGAGAATCCTTAGTGACACTTTTACTGGGCTGCGATTCCTGATCTCACACACATACTCTTTCTCTCTATCTCTAACATACGCACGACTGCCTTTTCTTATCTCTGCCCCCAGAACTGACCCATGACCTGGAAATGAAAGAGGCCCAATCTCACCAACAAGGTAAGAGGACAAGTGGTCACCTTTTCCCCACCACTTAGGACCCAAGCCTTCTCCACCCCTGGCCCAGACTTGGGGACAGCCACTCCTCAGCTTATTGAGTGAGTGCAGGACGTCAGCCTCATTTGCCCACTCACCTGGGTGACCTTGTGCAATGAACAACCCGCACCACCTTACATAGTGCCCTGTATCCCTGTCTCTGTCCAAAGTGAGAAAATGAAAGCAGGAAGGAGATGGTGTCCAGGAAGTCCACATGGCTGACTTCATTCCTTTGTGACCCACCTCCCTAATCCTTCTCATCCTTGCACAAGTAATTCTCACAGTCCGTGTCCACACCCTCCAAGATGTTGTCAAGATTCAACACGATGGCAATATGGGGTCTTTGACTTCAAGGAACATAGTCTAGAGGAGGAGCAAAGAGACACAGGCACATTACCAAATTCTTCATTTTACAAAAGCATGACTACTTGCCGTTGTAGAAATTCCACTAAAGTATTTGTTTATAGATTATTACTTCACCCATAAAATGAGGAGTGGTGTGGGGAGATGGTGTTCAATGAGTATACAGTTTCAGTTTTGCAAGATGAAAAAATTCTAGAGATCTGTTGCACAACAATGTGAGTATATTAACACTACTGTACACTTAAAAAATGGTTAAGATGGCAAAATTTTTCCTTGTTTTTTTGTCACAATTAATTTTTTTCAAATGGGAGGGGTTGCATTGTTGAGATCTTAATCTCCAGATGATATGATCTCTGAGAACTAGGACTGGGTGTTACCCATCGTCTCTCAGTGCAAAGCACATTACCTGACATGGAGAGGGACTCAGTAAATGCCTGATTTGAAATGAATCACAAAAGTAGTATTTCTTGGCCAGGAGGGTTTTAAGAATGGGCTCCCTGCCATATTGATGTGCTGCTTATAGATCAACAGCTACAGGACCAAGAGTTAGGCACGAGGAAGGCTGGAAGTTTAAGGTTAAGGTAAAATGCTAGGAGCCCTACTAACTGCTTTGCATATCATGCATAAACATCTGAACACTTATGCCCCTGAACTAATTCTGACAACTGCTTTAAGTGGCAGTCATGGGCGGCCTCTTTGTGCCTACGTGCTTGGAGGAAGAAGGGGTCACATATCCCAGACACCAGGCAAGAACAGTTCTGTGACAATAGTAGCTTTTACTCCACCTACTGTCCTTCCTCTGAAAGGGCTTTTGGGCTCAAGGCACTGCCCCAGTGTCCTGGTTTTTACTCTCTCTCTCAGTGGGCTTGAGAGCTCTCTTTCCTTGTCCTCCTTTTATATGAAAATCACTTGGTGGTTTTCATATCCCCTCCAGAGTCACCTTTTACCTACCCTTTGTCACCATTCTCACTCACACGTGCCAGTCCTAGGATACAGACCCTGCTGAAATGGAGTTTATGATCCAGGAGGTAGGGGTCCTCAACCCTGGGGGTACATCAGAATCACCAGGGAAGATTCAAGAAGTACCCTTTCCCAGTACTTGATACTTTGACAGGGCCCAGGAAACTATTTTTTAAAGCTCTCTGGATGGTTCCAGTGTACATCCAGGTTTGAAACCCAATGCAGTGGGCAAAGGCAAACAATAAACAAGTTAAAAAAAAAAACCCACAAAATATAATAAATGCTGTTTATGAAGGAAATAAGGTTCGCAGCACACTGACTCCCCTTTTCTGCTCACATTCCCAGTTCTTTCAGTCCCTTGTTGTTGTATGTCTCTCCTGCTACGGGGCTTTTGCACAAGTCCTACCCTCGGTCCAAAGCACCCTTCTCTCCCCTGTTCACTACTTAATTCCTATTCACCTGTCAGGTCCTAGCCCAAGTTGCTCTTCGGCTGAGAAGCCTTCCCTGATTAGGTCACAGTCTCCTGTTAACAGTCGTGGTATTGGCACGTGTCACAGATGCAACCTCACATTCTTTTGTGGTTATGTACCATACCTCTCCCACTATGCTTGCTGTGAGCTTCGTGAGGAATGTTTTACTATCCACCATACCCACAATGCCTAATACAACGCACAGAGTCAGGGCTCAACAAACAGTCATGGAGTGAATAAATGGTCAGGGAAGGGTTTGCACTTAAACTTAAGGGTCGCACTGAAGAATCAGAGTGGCCAAACAGAAGGCAAGATAGGTGCAAGGGTCTCGAGGAGGAAAGAGGCAGGCCAGCGTCGCAGGCGCGTGGGGAGTGAGGGCGAGCGCCGCAGGACATGCAGTCGTGGGAGTGGGGCGGGGGGTGCCGGGCTTCGCTCTGAGGATCGGTGAGCTGTGCAGGTACAGGCAGTGGGGACCCTCACTCTCCCCTCCCTCTCCCCTGCCCAGAGCTGGCGTCCCGGGAGCTGGAGAGCAAGTGCCGCGAGCTGGAGTCACAGCTGGCGGCGCGGGCGGCGGCCAACGCAGAGCTGCGGCGGGAGGTGGCGCAGCGCGAGGCGCTGGTGTCGGCGCTACGCTGCAGCCTGCGCGCCGAGGAGCGCCGCTTCCTGGAGGAGCTGCGTCGCCGCAGCCACCGAGCCACCGTGCTGGGCACTGAGCTGCAGAAGCACACCGAGGCGGCCGCCTACCTCTCCTGCCAGCTGCACGCGGCGCGCCAGAAACTGCAGACTCCGCGCCCGGGCCCCGGCGCCGCCGCCGCCGCCGCCCCCGAGCCCCGGATCCGCCGGCGCGCACAGCGGGCCCGCCGCCCACCCGCAGCCGAGGCCGCCACCAAGAGCCCCGGCCGGGACTGGGCCGCCCGGGAGCGCTCGGCCGGCGCCCCGGACGACGCCGATGCCATGCCAGACCCCGCGCTCTTCCTCTACGCCCGGAGGCCCCCGCGGCCCTGTGGCCGCAGCCCGCGCCAGCCGCCTCCCCAGGAGCCCCCTGACCAAGCCACCCCGCCGGCCGCACCCAGCCCGCCCAGTGCGCTGGCGGACCCGGAGTAAGCACGGGGCCGGCTGGGAGGGGCGGGGCGGGGAGCGGGGGAAGGCGGGCCCGGGGCCAGACTAGGGACGCAGCTCTGGCCGCGCGGGCGGGTCCCAGGGGCTGAGGCAGCCGGTCCCTCCCCCACGGAGCGGGCGGAGGCGGCCCCTGCTCCCCCGCCCCTTCGCCCCTCCCAGCCGCCCCCGCCTTTTGTATTTGCCAGCAACGCCGAAGCTTTGAGCTCTCCCCTCCCGCTGGGGACCTCCTCCGCGGGGCCCAGCGAATGCATCCTTTTTCTAGGAGAGGACTCATAGTACCCATCTTTATCTGGTCCTCACCCTGCCACTGGGAGGGGAAGGGGCGGGGGTCACGCCCTGCCCCGGGAAAGCTGACAATCATTTGGCGGGAGGGGGAAGCCTGGGCGGCCTACGGAAAGGAACCAGAGTGGCCCTTAGCATCCTTAGGCCTTCCAGCTCCCCGCTGCGGCCTCCCCCCAGCCCCCCACGGCTGCCCTTCCCGCCGAGCCTTCCTCCAAGGGGAAGTTCGGGCTGAGGTCTAGAGGCTGGACCTTTACCTTGGAAGCCGTTTCTCCTACCCCCTACCCTGCTGATAGGTCCTTACAGGTGAGCACGGAACACTTTAGAAGTCGCCTCCTCCAGAGCCTCTGGTGGGGAAAGTATGGACTTATTGAAGTTTGAACTTCTGGAAATTAGCACCCATAGACCCTTAGAGAAGATTACAGAATGGGTTTGGTGGCAGATCCTGGTCTAGAGCTGTCTCCAGCTCAGTTCTTCCCCAGGATGCCGACCTAGGTATTTACTCTGGGGACACGCCAGAATCGGGCTGCCCCATCAGGCTGATGGAAGGGTTAGAAAGTGCTTTCAGGAGGTAGCTGGGAACCTGAAGGCTGCCCTGGGAGTTTTCCTAGTCCTGTTTATTGGTGCTAATTTTGCCCAGCTTCCTAATTAGCTGGCTGCACCCAGAGGCAGGAAGGAGGGCCCGGCTTCTTGGAAGTGGCAGTTGTTGAGAGAGGTTTGGGTTTGCTGGGGGTAGGGGTGGGAGGGAATGGACAGGTTAGGCCCCAGCCTGGCCCTCTCCAGGAATGGCCGCAATCCTATCAGACCTGACAGGGGTGGGGCTCTCTAGGTTGGGGAGTGACAAAAGGAAGGAATACTGCCCACCTCCTAACGCGTTTCTCCCCATCTCCCTGTCACGACCAAAGGCAGGAAGTGAAGCTCCAGTCCAGTTCATTGCCCCCACCCAGTCCGGCCTAGAAAGAAAGACAAATCCCTAGAACCCTGTCCTCTCATGCCATCCGTCTTCTGTTGGTCCTGCATCAAGTCCTAAGTGCCTGTGAGGTCTTCCAGGGGCTTCCATGGGAGGACATGGGGCAGGGAGAGTCCTTTATCTCACTCACAAGCACCCCATCCTGGCAGGTCCTGACCCTGGCTGGGGCTGAGCCTTCTGTTTGTCACCCAGGGGTCTGGGAGGTCTCTAGGGTGATGAACCCTTTTCCCGTCACGGCCCCATGAAGAAGAGGGGGAAAGAGCCCCAATTATACCTTCTTTCACTGTATATGTTAGAGGGAGCAGGACACCAGTGGGCTCACAAACATGCAGCCCCCTCCCAGCTCAGGACTGCTGAGACCACTGAGCAATAACCAGTCCTGGTCTAGGTGTCCGCCACTGAGGCACCGTTGGAACGGACCGTGCTGTCCAGTCTCAGGGGCCACAGTAGTGGCCTAGGGTCCTTGCTTTGCCTGCTCCCACCTCTCCCCTCCCCAGTCTCTGTGGTTGTGCCTCTACCCTCTGTGTCCCCTCAAGTGTGGGTGACTCACCGTACCCCTCGACCCGTTGCCTTCCCTTTCAGAGCAGGTCTGAGTGAGGAGGCCTCTCTCTGCTCTTGGCTTCTCTCATTTGATGGGGCCCAGAGGATGCTGGGCAGGAGGGAAAGGGGGTCTTTCTGGAGGCACCCACATCTTCCACAATCAAACTTTTGGGGTGAACTGGGTGACTTGGTTACACCAATGCTTCTACAGAGATGCTGAAGCACCTTATCCACCCACCCACCCGCTAAAAGCCATGGCTACGCCCACCTGGCCTCCCCCCGCTCTAGAGCCATAGCCCTCTTCCTCCTTCCCGCCTGTGTGCTCGAGCTGTCTGGCTGGGGGCCCCAAAACCCCCTACCGCACGGATCCTCCCGTGGCCTGCCTGCCTCTCCCCAGGTGACCCCATCAGCACCTCCCACCCCCTGTCCCTCTACCAGCAGTCAGAGATGATGACACTTAATTGTGAGGTACTTGGAGATACGCCACATGAAGGTCCAGCGTGCTGGGGCGGCTGACTCGCTGACTCCCAGCTGAGGTGTCGGGGTGCCTGGGAAAGGAAATAAGGCAAGCACCCCTCCCACCTCCACTCAGCAAGCTGGGGCAGGGGCCAAGGCAAATACAGGGTTCCAATTTTATGAGAAATTCCCGTTCCCTCTCCCTCTCCTGGAAATAATGGACAGAGGCTTCCTTCCTCTCTCCTGCACCTGGGTCTGGAACAGAACCCTCAGGGCAGCAGAATAAGACTGGGAGTCAGTGGCCTGCCCTTGGCCTCAGTGGTCAGAAACTCCTCAGCCTTGCCCCTCAGCTTCTGGCCCTCCCCGTCTCCTAGCCTGGGGGACCCGCCCTGCCAAGGGAAAGACCCCCCTCCCTCGAGCCCCTAAAAAGTTTGGGTGGCTAGAAGGGAAAGGATTGTCTCCTTCCCTCTCCCTACCCTCCACCTCTCGCCTCTTCTCTGCTGCATGACTCCCCATTGGGGGAGGACTGTGTTGACATGGACACTCAGGGGCCCTAGTTGGAACCAGGAGCTGCAGGTGGGGACCCCTCCCCGTTCTGGAAGCCAATCAGGGACCTGTGGGCAATACAGCATGAGGCTTTGTACCCCTGACCCCCAATATCCCACCCACAGTAGCCTGCAGTTTGGGGGCCCAGGCCAGGGCTGAAATGGGGTAGCCCTTCCCCAAACAAGCAGCAGAATAGAGGTCTCCCTGATGAAGAGGAAGGAGGCCGAGAGGGTGTGGAGGAGCATCTCCTCACCACGGAGAGCCAGGGATCTCTAAGCACCCTCTCGCTGAGGTGCCAGCCTTGAATGGGGGACGCGCGAGGCTTCAGAGCCACCTGGCAGGAGCCCCATGGGCGCGGCAGAGGGATCCTGCTCCAAGTTCTCTGTTGGCTGCGCTTTTTAATCCAATGCTTTTCAGAGTGTATTCACTCACCCACAGAAATAGAACCCTGTGCTTTAGGGGTGACTGTCATATGCCTTATTCTTAATAAAATATCTGAAAAACACACAAGTCAGACTTTTTTCCTGTGGGCACTCTGCGCCCCCATCCCCTCAGCCCACCACAGGTCTGTGGAAAGGCCGTGGAGGAGATAGCGAATGGTTTGGGAGTTAGCCAGTGGGTTGGGTGAGACTGGCAGCTGAGACTCTGAAGTCCCCTCAATAGGCATTCCTCACATAGAGCATAAGGCGTTCATCTGAGATGTCTGTCCTGATGCTCAGGTTAGCCCTGTCCCTCTCTCCATGCCACCCCAACCCAAATGAACAAACAAGACCTTAGATTAGAGGCTCCTGGCTAGGGTTGGCAGGGGTAGACTGGAAGGGTTCCATGCCTGGAGTTTTGCCCATTGTTCTGGCCTAGAAGGAATCCTGGGGCTCTGGACGTCTTTGGCTATGCCAGTTCTTCTTTCCTGACAACCATCTCCATCTGATCCAGATGCAAGAAGCCCAGCATCCCAGAGAAGAGCCCTAATCTTACCCTCCACTAACAAGGGCTATCCAAGGGCTGCGGTTTGGGCGCTCAGCACGCTCAGCATCTTCAGGCCTGTACATTTTCAGTGTAGGTCTATGTTGTGGATGGCTCTAGGAGAAAACGCAGCAGCTGTGCATTCTAAGGATGCAGGGGACATATTGGTTTTGCCTGCAACCTTTCTTCTGATAACAGTACCTATTACTTCCTTTCAGGCAACAGCCTTCTCCCAGCTTAGTCAATGTGTTGCAGGGCTCTGACCCCACCCATGTGACCCAGGTAAGGTAGGTCACACTGATTGGGCTGGAGATGGGCATGCAACTCTAAGCCAATAAGAGTCCATCTCAGAACTTTTACTGTAACCATTCATTTAACACACCAAGTTAGGTGCTAGGGATACAACAGGGAACCAAAAAGAACTACTGAAGGACAAATTCTTGGGTGGCTAAAATGGCAGAATATCAGCTTGGAAATCTGGTAGGCCATTTGCCATCACCAGGGATGGGGCTACCTGATTATGAAGCCCCACAAAAGAAGTAAAACCTAGAAAGATGGGGGCAATTCCTTTTTTTTTTTTTTTTTTTTTTTTTTTGGGTTTTTTTTTTTTT